CGAGTAATATTTTATTGGACCTTTAGGATATATCTAATTTTTGGCATTAAAAATTCCATTCTGATAGACATCCTTATGTCTAAATATTTGTCTCCACAAATACTGGTCAGGGCATGGTCAGTTTTATGGCTCCATACAGAAAAGGGGCACTCACAGCTGTATTGCTCACTTAATGGGTCTTATGTCACCATTTTTAATTTTGGATAAACTCACTTTCATCCCAACTACTTTGTATGCATTTTAGGGCAGATGCTACATCTTATACTTCTATAATCCCAAGGCTTTCCACTAACACATTGTGTTCAATAAGAGGGACTAAAGAAACAAACAGAAAAATAAAAAATCCTTTATGCATACTAAAGACAACGGGACTGTCATACTTCATAAAACTTTGTGTCATAGTGATTTTTAGAAAATTATCAGGGTACTGGGACAACAGTGCTAATACACACCATATTTTAAATTATTTAGAAATAATATGTAAGTATGGTAAATACATGATACATATGATAAATATTTTAAAATAACGTGACAAAGTATCCTACTTTTAAAAATATTTGGACTACTTGAGGATGATCTTTATTAAATATATTTCTAGTTTTAGTTTTACTAGAATTAAAATTGATGTAAACTCATCACACTTTGGGTGGGAAGTTTTTTGAAAATGCTCATCTATGAAAATGTGTTTTTCTGGCATTAAGGAGAAAATTCCAGATGGAATGATCATCATAGGTCAGAGCCTATGACCCACATCATTAACGCATTCTTGGAGAAAGGATTAGCATAATCTGATTTTTTTCTCTTTGACTCTCAAAACTATATTTGTTTTAGGAAACCTGGCAAGTTCAGTTAAGAATGAAAAAGTAGGGGGAAAAAAGCACCACACTCCATTGTCTGGAGACAAAGACTGTTGATAAAGTAATAGCGCAGCATACTTCCTTCTAAAATATGGCTATGTGGCACTGATGCAAGTATGAAACTGAAGGTTTAACTTGTCAACATTACACACTTTTTATCATTATTTGTTGAGTGTCGACTAAACACAGGGTATGGCATTAACTTGCTTTTATTCTCCAAGGTACTTCGGTAAAATTTCCAGCTATCAATATCCAAAGATGTACTTGGTGATATATATATATATTTAAAATAATTCAAACCCTCACAGGCACCAAGTGTTGCATCAGTTGGCATATAAAACTGGCTCACGTTATTAAGTAACCTGCAAAATTCTATTTTTGATGGCTGTATTTGTCCTGCTAGTGATAAGAGAGCACAAATGAGTTACTCTCTGGTTTTCGAATTCTTGTTTTGCAAGTATTCATGTTCAATCTCAGAGGCTGTGAAGATCCAACAAAAATAGATAATTCAAAAACTAATTTAGCAAATACCATAAGATTTTAAATGGTCTTTTTATGGGTATGCTCCCTGAATTGTCTTAAGATGTTTCTTTAACTTTTTGTGCAGAGATTTTTTAGTATATGTGCTGCCGAAGCGAGGACTATGCAGAGATTTTTTAAAAAGGAAACCTGATGCTGCCCTCCTTTTGAAGGCTGATGTATGTATGGAAAAGGCTGAAGAGTCTCCCCTAAATCCCCAAACACTGGGGGCTGTACCTCCCACATGCTCTTCTCTTGGAGCCAGTTAATCCAGGCTGCTGACCAGAGACTAGATTGAGCAGATACCAGGATTGCAACACCATGACTAGTAGAGTGGGGGTAGGACCTTGCCAGTATTCTGGAAATTAAGGGTGAGAGGGGTTAAGGTACATGTTGAAGATCACACAATTTGCCTGTGGCAAAAAGCAGGCTAACCCACAGGTCTCCAATTTGAAGTCTTGGGTGATTTCCTGTACTCTGCAGCCAAATCAGGAAGGATTTTTTCAATTCATTCAAAATGATTGAGTTGTTTATGTGTTTAGATCTTGATTAGAGGCATTAGATCTGGATAGCTAGGTTTTAGAATTCTAGGTTTTACATTATGGAAGAATTTCTGACCCAATTAGTCATTCTGGTAGCAAAGAAATAGTGCTACTCAAAGTGAATCCTGTTAAAAGTTTAGGCTCACAAAATATTTTTTGCATGTCCTGTCACGCTAATCTCTAAAATTTCAATCATAAAGATCGTATTGTAATAGCTCTTAGTTTTGTAAATCTTGCTGGAAGTTCTGGCCAGTAGCAGTGTAATTATAGCCTGTAAATCCTGGGCAAGGTACCTAACCTCCTTGTGCCTTGTTTTTCTTATCTGGAAACTGGAGATGATTGGTGGTATTGTAAGGATTAAATGAATGAATTTATACAAACTAGTTAGAATAGAGGTGCCCACTAAATGTTTACTATTACTTAGTTGCTATTAACTTGTGGTTTCATCATTAACATTTTCTGAATGTAATTGAATATATAAGTTCAAAGTAATATGCAGATTGATCATATATTTTTGGGGCTATTTTATTGGGAAACATTTTTAATTATGAAAGTAAAATAGTCCTATTGGTTTCTCTTCCTCTATAGTGCAAATGTTCTTAACTCCTAGTGTTTGGTTTGTAAAATTATCTCCACTGCTACGTGAGTCTTTAAAAAATATACTATTTGTAAACTTTGTACATAGCTATAATAATATATTACAGTTCTCTGTCCTGCAGAGTTTTTTTTTTTTTTAATGATCACTTAATGGCCGAATACTATTTTGTTTGCAATGGGACTTTAAGATGGATGGGACTCTTTTTGGCTTCTGGTTTGGATATGAAACCAAACCCCTGGACCACCAAGCAGGATGAGAAGGTAGCAAGAAGCTGCTATAATTGCTTAACATTCTTGACTGAACACCTCCTCCCCGCTCCCTATCCTTGAGTTTAGGAAAGCAATGGAGGAATTTGAGAGGAGTTTTTGGAGTTCATCTAAATGATGAATGGTGGTGAATTGTGGATCCTAATTTCCACCAAGTGAGAGGAATTGTGAGGTGCATCTAGGTTTACCTGAGGCAGCAGAAATAAGGAAATCACTCAGAGAGCTTGATAGGCATTCCTTGTGTTTGGGAACACATTAGGCTGGTGTGGTGTTTCAGTCTTGAAATTCCCAATGGTGAGAGCAATGGGTTCTGCTGCTTTGATGTTGGTGAGAAGGAGAGGCGGTTGCTTTTTGGCAACTGTACTTCCGATTTTACCGGTCAGAGAATGTATGAGTACTTCTAGGGAACTAGAGTTTGGCCACATGTAGGAGCCACTGAGTATCTTCTGTCTTCCCCAAGAGGGCTGCTTGGTGTGTCAAAAAGAGCTGTGTAGAAGGAGTCGAAGGCCCAGGGAAGTGGCCGGGCAGAGGAGAGCGGAACCAGGTGGGAGATGCCCAACAATGGAATTAAGGATGTCTCTGATGAGCCTACCTGCTGGGCCCAGGGAGTCCAGTACTGAGTATAGGTCAAGCACACCCTGCCTCCTCTCCTTCGCTTTGATCCCTTCCTTCTACTTGAGCTCTGAGTCAGAAAGTATAGTTAGCAGACTGGCATGGAAATTGTGCTTCTGAAAGCATAAAGGACGAAAATAGAAATCCCCCTCTACTCTCACATATTTGGAAAAGTAAATAGCTATAACTTTGAAGTTTCTATTATCCTGCACTAGACATATTATTATTTAGTGGAAGATTTTTTTTAATTTTTATTTATTTTTTTACCTGAATGTTACTAGAAAAGTCATGAGACTTCCCCTGAATTTCATTTGGGGGAAAAGGAAGAGCATGCTTAGAATAAAATTAAATAGACAATTTACATTGTTTTGTGGTTAATTCTCATCAAGTTCTGCTTGTTGAATGTAATGATTATATATTCATAGCTTACTTAATAATGTTCTTTTATACACTTAGGTTGGTGATCTTGAGTTACTATAAATAATGCCACACTAGATAGGTTTATATGTATCCCTATCATTATATTTCAGACCATTCCAGATTTATTTCCAGAAGGCAAACATCTTTGTATATAAATATTAATAAATTGCTTTTCAAAGGGTTTAAATGCTTTCTACTACCACTGTTTCTGCTTGAGTGTTTCAGATAAAAAGAAGGTAAAAAGAAAAATTCAATTATTTTTGGTAAAATTTCTAACATAATGTTACACTTTGTAACAATCTGACAAAGGATGCTGTATGTTTTATAGTTATCCAAATGAAATTTGTATTTGTAATAGCATATGGGTTTGGTTAAGTTCAAAAAGTATATGTGAAAGACTACAGCTGGGAATGAAAATACTTTGTCTTAACTGTAAAAAGGGGAACAATATTTCTTCAAGTAAGATCATTAATATGCCTAATACTAGCTTTATTTTTAATGTGTTATAACCTCTCCAAAGGAGACTTCCATAGAAACAGCAAAAATATATGTATAATTCTTAACAACCAATGTCTATGAATAGTCAGTTTTAGGACTTTTTTCCTTTTAAAAAATACTGAACATGGAGAAAAATTCTTATGGATACTAAACTTAGCTGGGTAGGTATTACAAGAAAACATCAGGGAATAGGTAGGGTGACCAAATGGTCATTCCTGGGATCCCACATCTGGAAGTCTTCCTGCTTCTGCAGTAGGGAATCTCTCTGGAAACTAAGGCTAGTTCCAGGATAGTTTGTTCTCTGCTGATTCTTGAAACAGTAGCATGGTTCTACACCATAGAACCACTTTGGGTAGTGAATTCCAATTGCCTTCTCATATACCAAAGCAGTCTTTTAAAGCTAAGATAGTCTCTATGACTGTGAACATGGATTCTGTTTTCAAATGACCAGTTAAGGTTAAGCTGATAACCCAGAGTAGAAAGAACATCACCTGTAGGGTCACCTACAAGACAGAAATGATGTGACTTTTTCCTCCCTCCCCGCCACCGCCCCCCCCCCCCCAGGAAAGAACATCCATTGAGAGTTACACAGCGGACCATTCATATTTTGCATCTTGGGACCATGAATATTCCCACCATTCAGCGAATTCAGTGGTGGATCTCAGCAGATGTCACAAGAAGTTCCTACCTGGACCAAGCTATATCCTGTGCGCTGGACCAGTGCGCGGAGGGCTGCTTCCTTCTGCGTGCCGCTCAATCCATCCCCGGATTTGTGATTTGATTCCATTGAGAGTGATTATCAGCAAAAAATCAGGTTAATTAGGGTTGCTCACTGAAACCAAATTTAAGATAAATTAAGTAAATTACTGTTGCCACATCCAAACTTGTCCTTCTCATGAAGGACACCTTCAGGAAACATTCTCTATAAATAAATTGTTAAGGTTAGAGCAACAAACAGCCACACACAAACACGGCTGGTGAAATGTCCTCATTAAAAAAGAGTTTTTTTTAAAAAAATGTTCAATTTTAGTTGAAATTTAGAACTAAAAAACGAGCAATACTCCTTCTCCAATTAGAATGCAGATCAGTAAGTCTCAATCCAATTATTTTAGAATGTCACCAAATGCTCAAAAACAAATTAGCTCATGTCAATTAAAAATATGCAGAACGGTCCTTGCAGATGTGGGAAGAGAGCATGGTTACTAAATCAAACCAACTAGGATAAAGCATTAAAATCCCGAGAGACTGAGCTTTATTTATCTACTTAATGTGTCACCTAAAACATTTATCTACTTACTCTCCAAAGATAAAATTTCTAGAACGGACTGTGCTGGCGTGAGAGATACAGGCGCCCTCATGCAAACTAGTCTGTATAATAAAGAGGTCACATAGGCTTTAATAAAACAAGAACGATAGATTTTTTTTTAAGTGGTGCTAGAAGGGCCTACTAATACCAGGATCATCTATCACTTAGAACACCCAGGAGAGGACAGGAAGACCTTTGCAAAAAAGAAAAAATAATAAATCTAAGGAACTCTAGATTTGCACATCTCCATGCTTGTGTAGATAAGAAGATGCAGTTTCAGCATTTTATCGGCTGTACTTCTTATTTGGGAACATAATTTGAACCCTACTGCAAATAGGATAATTGCTTCTAGTGCAGAGGGGCGTATGCTGACCTGCTCCCTGAGTGTGAGGACTCAGGAAGGTTCCGCGCTGAGCTTTCACTCTGCCTACTGTGCTCTGTCAACCAAGCCAGAAGTGTGTTTTACAGTGATTTGAATCACATGCAGATTGAGTGCCTTTCAACATAGGCCCTTTGAAAACTTTCTATGCCATGCACTGAGATTTCCTATACAACTTTTGGGGGCCATTTAAAGATTCTGAATGAATGGGGCATTAATAATATAGAAAACGGGTAAAAAATTGGGTGAACAGTAAAGCTGAGGTGATCATGTCAATAGAAGATTCAAAGCGTTCTATTAAGGTAATAAATAATAGACAAACTAATAAATAATGACAAACCATCATCTAGCATTGTCTAGAAAGTAATACTTTCAATAGAATACAGGAAACAAGCAAAGATTTCGGAGAGACTATTCATCAGCTATTATAGGGACAGAACAATTTCATGCTTCACATACAAGCATGGCCACTCCTGCCCTTGACTGTTCTAATAATTCTTGCCTGCTGCTAAGCCTGGACAATTCCATTTTTACGCATTCATTCTCTCAAGTAGTATTAGTCAGTGCTGTCTTCATGCCAGCTTCTCCTTGTCCCGCCCTAAGCATTGTGTGGTGGAGACAGTCAGCTAAGTCCATTAAGTTAATGTACCAGGTTCAGTTGCTGCCCTTTGCAAAAGGCAGTGATTTTTTATTTTCTAACTTTGTATCTTGCCTAAGACAAATTTTCCTGATGGTGCTGTTTTGATAGACCTGTAGCATCCAGGTTGGGACATGTGGCTTTACTGATACCTTTATAATGTAAACAATCTTTCTAGGGATGCTACAGGGTAGGGGGTAAAAGGAGACCTGTACTCAGCTTGTAATGCTAACTGGTGTTTATAGAAATTATAACTAATTTCTGACTTATAGAAATCTCTATGAAACAATAGAAGTCCTCTTAAAAAGTAAAACTACGAAAAGGCATTTGGAAGATTTCCAAAGAAAACTAGCCTTTTTGCACAAAATGTAACTCTTGCACTTTCCCCAAATGTTGCTAAAATTGTCTTTTCATCAGGACCCTCTCAAATACCCCCTCTCCCCCGGTCTAGCCCATTACCCCCTCCCCGCACCAGGGCTGGGGCTGGATTTAACCTGCCAAAACAGGGAGGCCAAGGGTGGACTGGGGTCTGGTGGTTAGTTCTGTCAGTCATCATGTGTCTTACAGATGTTTGAAGGCAAAGTCTATTGTCTTTTGGCCGAGTTGTGGGTTTATTCTTTGCTGAGCTTCACCTTTTCCAGCAAAAAATAACAGTTCATGGTGAAACGACAAGTTTTATTTGCAAGACCTACCTTTGGTTTTAGTTAATGATTAGTAAAGATAATTGAAAACACTTTTACGTAGGAAAGGTCTTTTGATCGCAGAAACTCACCCTGCCATTGTTGAGGAAATCTCTGGAACCTCTCAACGTAATGTCAGGTCATTAGAAATGGAGGTATAGCAGGAAGATTCAGAATTTGCTACAAGAGATACCTGAGCTTTGATGCTTGTTTCTCAAGAACAATCCCCTCTCCCAACATTGACCTAACCTGAAGGATGAACTTGGATCCCAGATAAATATTTTTTTAAGCAAGTTAAACTTCTGTTAAATTTGGTCAATTTGGGAGAGAGATTGTGCAATACATTTTCTAATTTAACATCCCATAATTGTTCAGATCTGAGACCACTGCATTTTGAAAGACTGGTTCCCAGTGTAACTTATGTAGGCAACAGGATTTAAAACCTATACAAAGCAGCCATTAGGAACATTGGTGCCCCAGGAGAACACCCGTGAGTGGTTAAGCATATGAACATACTTCTCAGTGAGTATCAGTTATTCTTTAAGAACATATACTGAGTACCTACTACCATTCTAGAATTCTTTGAGACATTGGGGGAGTAGCAGAGAACAAAACAAACCCCTCTCCCTGTAAAAACCATGGAGTTTTCTAGAGGATGAGAGAGAGACCATAAGCAAGTAAAATACATAGGTGCTAATGATAATTTCTGAGGAGAAAAAAAAATAAAGAGGAACGTGAAGTGTGTGTGGGGAGGAGGGAGTGAAATGTTAGACAGGTGTGATCCTGATGGGGTAAGTTTGGGAAGCCTGGTGACGCGAGGGATGTGTCTGGGGGAAACCATTCTAGGCAGAGGGCCTGTAGCCGTAAGGGCCCTGAGGTGGGAGCTTGGTGATGGAACAGGGAGCAGGCCTGTGGGGAGGGTCCCGAGCTGGGCTAGTGAGGTCAGAAGTAGGAGTTATCAGAGAGATAGTGGTGGCCCCGGCCATAAAGGATCTTGCAGGTCATGGTGAGGACTTTGGCTTTTGGCTTTTGCTCTGAGATGTCAAGCCAGAGGATCAACAAGATGTTTAACAAGATCACTCTGACACTGAAGGAAGTCAGGCAGGGCTGGGACTGAGGTGAGTCATGCAAATGCCCTAGTCATGTGTTCACTATCGACTTTGCTGTTTTGTGCATTTTTATGTTTTGTTTTTTTTTTTTTTTGGCATGGATTCTGATTTTTTTAAATGTTGCATGAAAACACCACTTGTCTTGATTCCTGAGTTTCTTGATGCTTCTACATGCTGCATTGGAGGCAGGGCCTCGCTCACCTCTGACCTCACTCTAGTCAGCAGACAGCTCATGAGGTGAAGTAGGGAGACCAGTCAGAAACCATTGCACCTTCTGGACAAGAAGTAGTAGTGATGAACTGGGGGTGGTGAAAAGCAGGTATTGTGGATAAACTCTACAGATGAATTGGACGCATCATGAGATAAAAAGTGAGGAGTTAAGGATGACATCAGTTTTCTGGCCCAGGCAACTAGAAGAGTGGAACTGCTGTTAGCTCAGATGGGGAAGAGCCGGAGCTCCACGGTCGGCATGCTGGTTTTGAGATGCCTATTAATAGCCACATGGAGAGCCTGAGTGCGCAGTTAGGTCCACGAGCTGGGATTTCCTGGGAGTGTTCCAGGCCGGAGGTACTAGTTGGGAAGCTATCTGCTGAGAGATGATATTTAAGCTATGAAATTGGGTGAGATCATCTATGAGCTGTGTGTAGAAAGTAGGTCCAAGGACTGAGCTTGGGGTGCGGGGCGCACTCCAACTCTCGGAAGTCAGGGAGACGATGGAGAATGAGCTGGAATAGTCAGAAAGGCAGGAGGAGAGCCGGGTGAAGGAGGTGAATGAAAAGCCAAGTGGAGAAGGGATTTTGAGAACAAATGAGTGATGAGATGAGCATGTTCTATCATGTTAAGTAAGATGAAGCCTGAATAGGGATGCAGACCTTGGAGCTAGACACCTGGATTCCAATCCTTCTGGTTCTTACTGTCTCCCTGGAAAGTTCCTGAACCTTTTGATGTCCGTACATCCTCAACTCTGGAAGCAGGAGTATTTCTCCTAGAGCCGTTGTATTATATGAGTAAATATGTTGAGAGAGCTTTGAGAGCATTCCTGGCACAGAGTGAGTGCTAGGTGGATGGTAGACCCAGGTATCTATGACTAAAACAAAAGGAGAAAGGGAGACACAGCATAATCACCGAGCACCCCACCTTCTCAGGTTCTGCAGGAAGACATTCCATGGTTTCGGGAAAAGGACTGTTACCTGGATGAGAATGGCTGAGTGAAGAAAGTGTGCGTTTTCTTAGGGAAGGGATGCTTTGTTCAAATGGACGCTCATCAGCAAACCTGCTAGGTGAAGATGTTCCCCGCTCCTGCTGCTCTGCCTCCCTTTGCTCTAGCAGAGACCCTGAGTCTCCATTTCCTTACTTAGAAAGTGTTAGGACAGTAAGAGTTCCTACTTCATAGAGTTGTTTCAAGGATTAAATATGAAGAGATTTAAAATATTTAAAGTGGTTTCTGGCATTTAATAACTGCCCATTGAGGGTTACCTATTATTTTAATTATTATTAATTATTATTATAAGTAATCTCTAATTCCGAGGGGTAACATTTCAAAATCACTTTCTGGGAAGATGAAGTCTCACGCGCTTAGCATGATCCATTGTCCCTCCAGGACTAGATTCCCTTCCGGTGTTCTCACTCCTTTCCCTGCCCCCTTGGGCCACCAGGTTTTCTTACACTTGTCCACGCTCTACTTGGACTGCTGCTCCCTTCCCTTCCCACATCTAACCTTC